GCTGCCGCTGCTGCTGCTGCTGCCGCTGCTGCTGCTGCTGCCGCCGCGGCTGCTGCTGCTGCTGCCGCTGCGGCTGCTGCTGCTGCTGCTGCCGCGGCTGCTGCTGCTGCTGCTGCCGCTGCTGCTGCGGCGGCTGCTGCTGCTGCTGCTGCCGCGGCTGCTGCTGCTGCTGCCGGGGCTGCTGCTGTGCTGCGGCGGCCGCGGCTGCTGCTGCTGCTGCTCCTGCTGCTCCTACTAAACAACTATGCGACAGCGACCAGGACGAGCACGGCGACTACTACTAAGTACTACTACTGCTGCTGCTACTGCTACTGCTACTGCTACTGCTACTGCTACTGCTACTGCTACTGCTACTGCTACTGCTACTACTACTACTACTACTACTACTACTACTACTACTACGGTTTACGGTTCAGTGCACGTGTCGGCACTTGATTAGTCACACCACCTCCTGGGCGGTCCATAGCCTTAGGATCCATGGCTTTAATCCACTCGTACTTGGTTGAGAGATGGGAAGTTCAGAATTCTTCAGGCACCCAACGCCGTGCCGTAAAGCCTTTTCTGGACGCCGTAATTCCTAACCACTGAGCCCGAAACCCCTAAGCCCGTTTCGTCAGCTTAGGCTTGGCAAGGAACCCGCGACCGAGCTCCGGCATTGGCGAGCCGCGCTTTGCGGCGGCACGTGGCCTGGAGCTCCTGGATGGGACAGGCCCTGCCATTCCTTAAGGGCTTTAGGGTTCCGTTGAGAGTTGCTTTAAAGGAATTTATAAGGGTTTAGGTGGGACAGACTTTTCCATTCCTTCAGGGCCCATGTGCTCATGTAAGGGTCTTGTAAGTGTACCATCAGGGGTTAAGGGATGGAGCAGGCCCCTAGGGTTGTTGCCGTCTCGGGTTTGGGGTGTATATAGGGCCTATAGGGATTGTACTCGTGCAGCAAATGTTTTCGCTTTTAACAGTAGTCCTTCTATAGGTACCTGCGGGCCAAAGTATATAATAATAGATGAGCAGATGGATCCTTAGGTATGTGCGGATTCCCAACAAAGGTTTCGTGAAGCGTGCAATAGTGTGTTAGCTAAGCGTCTGATGGGACCGACCCTTCATTAATTTAGGACCAGAGGGCTTAGGATTAGGGCCTAGGGCTTCGGGATCGAGTGGTGAGCCAAATACATGTCCGATAAGTCCGATAGCTCAGGGGTCCTTTAAGGGTTCCGTCAGGGATGGTTTATAGGAGTATGATGGGACGTGCCTAGCGGTTTGGAGATGGTCGGGTTATTGATGTCAAGCTCCATCACCCTTAACAATAAGCAGTTCCTAAATCTTCACCCCTCCAAAATATCATAATCGAAGCCCTCAACACCTCAAACTAGCACGACGAAAATAGGCGCCCGATAACTAATCTGGCTCCGTTACATGCGAAGTAGCTCTGCGATACGGGATCCCCCTATAAACCTTAACCCCCATGACTCACTTGGAAAGTGGGTCGGCTGATCAGAGAGGTGGGCCCAGGCCCCTACATGTAATTCCCATTTGTTGGCTACAGGCCTATGGTTTAGGGTTTCGTATAGGACCCTACTGGTAGCAAGTATGTAGAATATCCAAACCGAAGGAACACAGCCGGGAAGATGCCAGTGGACGCAGGCATTAGTCGAGTGACCAAGCTCAAACTTCAACTTGCAGAGGTCACAAGCCAGGGTTTAGGGTTTAGGGTTTAGGGTTTAGAGAGAAAGCAAGCATTGTGGAGAAGGCAGTCGTCATGATTCGGCGAATCAGGGACGACAAAGATGCTCAGATCCGATCCCGCGCTAAGATCTTGCACACCGTCCTGTGGCCAACATGGCCACCACTCTGAGGGGTGTGTGTTTCGTGGAGCGCAGTTCCCGTCCGTAACCAGCCAAGTCTGAGGCACTAAACCATGAAACCAGCATGCTAGACGTGAAGACTTTAATAAAATGCTCTAAGCATTCAATGACATGTACACGTGACAAAACTTCTTGTAATAATTCTGAGAAAACTTTAATATCGGAGCCCTAAACCTTGCAGCCCTGCATGCAGGCTCGTTCCAAGACATTTTGGAGCTCACAGCCAATCCTGCGAGTGTTCTCTTCAAGCTGCGAGGCTTTGGGGACTTCAGTTGAGGACTTAAGGGTTGCGGTTAGGGCTTTAGGGGTTTAGGAGGCCCTGAACCGTAATGCCCGAAAGCTGTATTGCTTCATGGTGTGGCCTTTGTGGCTTTATGGGCCTTACTGGGTTTAATGGGGTTTTTTAGGCTCCAAGCAGTGTATACTTAGGTTCCTTTCTGAAGTTTTGAGGCTTCCCTTTAAAGGTTGGGACTCAGGACATGTCGAAGTTAGGCTGGAGAGGCGGTGCGGGGCTTCGGATTCACTTCGCAGCTATGGTTCCAGATTTACGCTGCTAAGCCACTGTTTAGTCTTACCCTAAACCCGATACCCCCAACTTTTTTGGCTTAGGGCGTCATGGCCTGGATCCCTTTGCGTGAATTAGGGGCTCCGTGTCAAATTCAGTGGAACCCAGCATCGCAACCACTTTAAGTCTAGTTTATGTTACGGGTCCTGCCAAAACCTCAGAGCATGAAACTATAATAAGGCCACATACCCAACCATTTTATGCGTCACCCAAGAACAACCCATGGATAGTTCTCTAAATTAGGGGTCCCTTTTTGGATCCCCAACATAGTACGGCACTCTTATAAAAAGGACCCTAAAAGGGACCCTAATTTAGAGAACTACACCCATACTGTCGCGCCTTTTTGGTGGGCTTGTGCTGAGACCAGGGCTTGGATGCCAGGATGCCGGCCCTGTCTAGCAGGACCCTAAACCCTAAACCCCTAGGAGTTTAGGGTTTCGGGGTTTAGGGTTTAGGCCCTTAGGAGTTTAGGGTTAGGGGTTTAGGGTTTAACCCCTTAGGAGTTTAGGGGTTTAGGGTTTAGGACCCTATTCTCATGACTGAGGTCCTTCAGAGGAATTTTTTTAGGTTCTAGGATGTCAGAGAGAGCCGCTGGTTAGTTGTCCTCCGCTTCGTACACCTCAGAGGCCTGCCAATGGTGCTACTGTAGCCGTTGCAATCGTATGAGATCCTTCCCATATCCCCCTAAACCCTAAACCGTTGCAGCCCAAACTTTAAACCCTAAACCCTAAACCCTAAACCCTAAACCGTTGCAGCCCAAACTTTAAACCCTAAACCCTACATGGGTAGTTCTCCAACTTATGGTCCCCTGTAGGCCACGGCACTATTACGAAGAGGACTTTTAAAGGGACCCGGATTTAGAGAACTACCCCTTTAGTACCTTGCCAGGGGAGGCCTTAGAAGCCCTAGGAAAGAGAGAACCCCGCTATGATCCAGGGAGGGCTCGAGGCTTTAGGGCGTAGGGTTCTCTATGATCCAGGGAGAGCTTGATTGGCTTGAGTGACGGCTTCCATCTTTGATTGCGGGTTAGATCCAAAAATCATGTGTGTTTCAGCGGTTGTGACTATACACACTGCATGGTAGACTCATTGAAGAAAGCAATCTAAAACACGCACCTCGACTTTGAAGCCTGACAACCCCCTTGGAGCCCTATGTAAGAGACCTAAAACCCAAGGTTCGATTAGCCATGGAACGGTGGGGCCAGTTGCATGTTTTTGGTTCGATGGTTTACCCGCAGCCCCGAGCCTGCCAAATAATTTCTGGTCCAGGGGATACGGAGAGTCCCATCACTGCTGGATCCATTCTCCGTCTCTTCTTCTTCCCGCTGACCGTGTGGGACACGCTGTTGCATTCGATGGATAACCCTGAGCCATGTTCACTGTGATTATTCTTGTTTTCATTATTACGATCACCATGAAAAGCATAATTGATTATCAGAAATAGCATGCAATAAACAAGCACTCCTATGACTACTGCCACTACTCTTCTTCATCTTCGTGAGCGGCTGGTGAGCAGTCATTCAAAGCAAAGCTCCCAGTCTTGAATGCAGCAGTCAGGGGCAGGGTAGAGGATGTAGCTCTCAACCTAAACCCTAAACCCTAAACCCTAAACATAAACCCTAAACCCTAAACCCTAAACCGAAGCCTTCAAAGCCTCTACCCTAGGAGCCCAAAGCCTTAAATGATTTCGACCCCAAACTTGAGCCCCCGAAGCCCTGAGCAACAAGCCTCGAAGCTCTAAAACCAAAGTCCCTACACGGCCCATCCCCCCCAAACCTGTAAACCCTGCAAGCTCTAAAGCCAAAGTCCCCAAACCCTAAACCTGTAAACCCGTAAACCCTAAACCCTAAACCTGTAAACCCTGGGGCCCTAAACCCTAAACCTCTAAACCCCAAGCAGATCACCATGTGCCCGGCCCCAGGACCTGGATCCTTTGTGCCAGGCGCGGTCCAGCTGCGTCTTACGGTTCAGAGGTTTGGGGTTTAGGGTTTTGGGTTTAGGGATTGGGGTTTAGGGTTTAGGGTTTTGGGTTTAGGGATTAGGGTTTAGGGTTTAGGGTTCAGGGTTTAGGGATTACCTGAACCCCCCGAGTCCCTTCT